GACATTGCGACACGCTCGGGCAAGCTTTTTGTTCTATACTGCGTCAACGAGACAATTCTTGGGAAGTCGACGATAACAAGGAATGCCTCGGAACAAGTTCCTTCAAGGAGTCCGACTCAAAGCGGTTCTCGAACTCAGCCACACTGGGTCCTCTGAGCCTTAACCTCGTGCGTCCCCCCCCCCCCATCCCCGGCAATAATTCCAGTTTGAAGGGTCACGGTGAGAGAAAACCCCTCATCGAATGAACGATTCAAGGACAGAACAGATGCCGCGATGTCGCTCCAGCCTCTCACTGACGTCCGGCGACCCGGAGCTTTAAGGGGGATTTCAGAAAAAAGATCAAGGGGATCGTCGGTAATCGGCAAGCCCGGTGAAGCGCAACCGGCACTGAATCGGAGCAATCCTGCGTCTACATCAATAGGAACGCTTCCCCAATGATCATGGGAGCAATGATCCCGAGCCTTCCTCGGATATCCTACTCCGCGGGACGATTCGTTCCTCGATCATTTCTTTGATTTTCTTCAACACGAATATAGAGATCCGAAGGGAAACTTCTAGCCGTAGACCCGATTGAGATTTCCGAGCTGAGGTGATCGGAGAATTCTCCGAAGATGTACTTTGGAAGGACAACACGGATATACAGAACACCCTCGCTTGTATTCGACTCCGAAATGCCGTCTCTACTTCAGAGGGATGAATCTGGATGAGTGGGTGGCTCCGATACCGGGCCTTCCGTGCTTGACAGGCTTGTAGGTGATGGAGAACTCGCCCAGATAATGTCCAATCATTTCAGGCTTGATCTCGACCTGATTGAAGTTCTGGAAGTAGGAAGGGATCTCTCTCGGTTAGGTGCTCTGTCTCGACAACACAAATGGTCGGTTTCTGATTCGGATATGTTCCGGACAGAACTTACCCTCCCGTTGTACACTCCAACCATGGATCCGACCATCTCGGGAATGATCAACATGTTTCGGAGATGAGTCTTGACAACGTCGGGCTTCTCGAGCTCAGCGGTCTGCTGCTTGACCTTGCGCAATTT